GCAGGATTATCTAAAAGGTGGCGATGAAAATGATTAGTAGAAATTACTTGATTATAATGTTTTTCACAAATTGAATGCGGATACAAATAAAAATTAAGTTCAGGCATATAATCCACGTATAATTTAAGCCGATTAGTGGTGGTTGGTGTATCAGCATGTCTCCAGGTTTGTGATTCTTTCATTTCACAGGGCCTTAGACCGAGCTTACTATATTTGCTAGCTATTGTACTAAACACACAAGGAAGATCTTTGGCTCTTGGCTTCTCTACGGCTGAAGAAGATTGCAACATCATTATCAAGCTTTATACAAGTGTTTTAATAAAAGAAAAAAAGAAGAAATTAATATTGTAATAAAATTTAAATATAATATTCTTTATTATTTCGGGTCTCATTTACCTTTTCAAAAAATGTTGATTACCCAAAAATAACGGCTGATTATGTAACTAGAAGTTTTCGACTTTTTTTTTGAATATCAACTTGTCAAAGTTTGCTACTAAGAATGCACCTAAATTCTAGCACTAGTTAGCGATAGCACCAATTATCATTATCCAATTATCGGGCAGGGAATTTTTGAAGATCATTCTAGATACGTTCTAGAACCGATCTTCAAATTTGCTATATTCCCTGACTGTAATAATACAGTCCGCCGATATTCCTAATTAGGAAATCGAGCTCTAGAATAATCTATGCGTCGATCCTCATATTTGATTGGCTATTACTGTAATACTTTAGTATAACGAGATGATCTACAAAAATCAGCCAATCACGATAGAAGTTCGCCATGCTATCTAACGAAACTTTAAAAAAAATTTTATTGCTTATGGCTCATTTAATCGAATGTAATCAATCCCTCAGTGACAATTTTCTACGATGGTTAAGACTAAATTATGCATATCTGATATGATTAAGAAAAATTCTTTGATTTAAATTTTCTTCTAAAGCCATCTTTAATTCACATTGATCCACTTTTTTTTAAACTAGATTTTCTGTGAATTACAGAAAATCATTGTCCTGCCCTAATACCGGGTTTCCTTTTCTGTGTTTGTATCACTCGTACAAAAGTATTCATTACATCGTGGTATCGAGACGCCGGGGTAGTTGTAAATTCAAAACCATGTCAGACGCATCAGTTTCTAATGGTTACTACTCAATAATAGTTGGGGGCAAGACCTTTAAATTGTCAACCTCCTCCCTTTATTCAGACAGTCCTAATTATTTTACCGATATATTTTCGTCACCATTAGAGGAATCTCGCACAAAGACCATGGTAGTTGACAGAGATCCTACGATTTTTGCGGATATCGTGAGTGGTAAAAGCATAATAGTGATTGACATTTATGCTCTTGAAAACTTTTAAAAAATAGTAAATTAAAGATATAAATTTAAATTGATAATATAGGTTAGGCATTTGCAAGGATATATTATAATACCTCGAGATGAGGTATTGTTAATTTATTAATGATAATTTGAGAATTTAAACGAATTATAATTGAAATTACGAATTAAATTTTATTTGAAAGTAGATCCACTATTCATATCTGTATACTGATGCAATATATTATAATCTATCAAAATTGAAAACTCAATTACGGGCCCATTATATCATAAATATCGGTGGGAAAGTATTTCGTGTTGATAGAGAAATATTAGAAACGCGAGATGCGCCAAATTTTTTTACACTTGGTTAATATTTTATATTTTATGCATTTTTTTTTTTTTTTTTTTTTTTGCGCCAGCATTCTAGAAGTAATATTAACAACTTTTTAGGCTTTAGCCATGGTTGGGAACCACCACCACACATCCCCGCATCCATTCCATTGTCAGTAACACCTCCGATGGTCGACCGTGACCCTGAATTGTTTTCTGACATTCTACGATATCTTCAAGGATATGAGATCGGAATCAAAGATGAAGTTCATAGGCAAAATTTGCTCAAGGATGCTCGCTTTTATCATTTAAAAGGGTTAGCTGAAAAATTATTAGCATCTACAGTGACTGTAAATGGATTTGCTAAACATGATTGTGCAAAAAATGAGATATTATTTCGGTTAAAAGACATTAGGACATCCGGTGTTATATTACCGGAATGTAGTAATAATGGTGATGCCTTAGGCGATGAAGATAGTGTTATTTCTACAGGAGATACTAGTCACATCATGTATAAAAATAAGGAAGGAACCGTTTATATCTTATTGGTAGAGGTGCATAATGCTCATCTAATTTGTCGATATGAACCAATGTCTTGGGAAACGCCTACAATATTGGAGTTAGTATTATCTGATAAGGAGATAAAGAAGCTTAAAGACATCGCTAAGACAATCAAAGCATTAGATGAAATTGAGCCCGTTATTCGATCACCAGAAATATGCGCCTTTGAAGTTGATGAGGTAAAATGCACTTCAAAAACCTTAATAAATGTTGATGAATCGCCACATTTAATAAAAGATGATGATCAAGGGAGTCGAAACGTAGACTTATTCGTAACAAAAGGAATATTGAAATTATTTGTAAATAATGAAAGGAAAATTGAAATGGAACTACTAAAATGTGAGGCCTTTAGTTCAGAGAAAGGATTCAACAGAAAGAGAGAATTCTTGCCCGCTGATAAAAGAATCGCATTGTAGACTAATATATATGATTGTCTTTTTCAGAATTATTATTTTTATGGTGTTTCTACGTACGTTTTTTTTTATTTTAATCTTTTTATATAGATAAGTCATCATCTGGATCCTCTTCGTCAAAATCATCATTAGCATCAGGTTCATAAAAGATAATCCCACCACTAGAATCGACCTTTTTTTCTTCATATTGATCTAATAATATTAAAAAATATTATCATCTTTTCCAACAAACGTAATAGGATCTTACATAACAAATATGATACCTTGCACTTTTGTATATGGCAAAATTACATCATTTTTTGCTTTTTTCTGTTCTTCAGTTAGTGATAAATTGAATAACGTGTTCGCTATTGTTGGATCAGGCTTAAAAAAAGAAGTGATATGAGATTTAACGAAATTATTAAATTAATAGAAATATATTCTATTTCACCTACATTATTGTTGTCCTTAACATTTATATCATCAGTTATTTCTTTTGCAAATTGAATTATTAGATCATTTGTAGATTCATCTATATGATATACATTTCTCTTGTAATGTATAATCAATCCAACTTAGCATATGATCGATTAAAGTTAGAAAATACTAGTTCAATTAATAAAATAATAAAGTTTAAATTACCTCATAAAATACTTTTCCTGATCTTTTTCTATGTTCTATCAAGCAAATACTACATTCTGGTGAATTCATATGTACATTTACCATAGCATCGGTGCCTTTAGAATACTCATAAATAGACTCTTTACGAGTTTGTTCCATATTTTTGATAGCTATGGTTGTGGTTGCAAAATGACTTAAAACAGTGCTCCGAACATTTAGCATACCGGTTATCCCATTTACCGGATATGTTGGAATGTCGGAATGGTAAACTGCTATTGCTCTAAATGTATTCATTTCTAATTTCATACATGTTATTTTGTAAGTAATATAATAAAGATTTTTTTTAACATACAAAAGGATAAATCAAATTATAAATACCTGAAGTTAACCCGGATGATATCTTTTTTAAAAAAGTAAACGTTGATGATATGGAAGTTAAAAGTATAGGAGTAAGTGAATCTATAATCAACGTGAAATTGGAATTTGGAGCTAATAGAGTATATTAAAATACATAAATTATATCAAGAAATCATTAGTATCTTGACAAATAAAATAGTATTAGATTGTTATATAAGGTGCAAATTAAATACTTGCATTTGGCAATAATATCTTGGATCAATCTTAAAATTATGGACAAATCATCAAGACTTTTTATGATATGTATTTTCGTATCATTGCTACCAATGTCATCCGTGTCATCACTTTCATACGATCCAAGACGGGAATATGCGTCAAGAAATATGACACTAGACAATCGGAAAACATTTGGAATTGTCTTTTACAATTTTTTTTTTAAAAAAAAAAAATCAAAAAAGAACCATTCTAACTAATTTAGCATTTAACACATACTTTTTATTCGATGCCACACTTTCAAGAAAATATTGAGGAGAGGATTCGATACAAAAAATTATGATATTTTGTTTACTGTCAAATGATAGCCGACAGTTTAAGTAAAATAATTTATAAAATAAATTTTAACAAAAAACTCACTCACTTACTTATTCTCTGATATTTTTTTTACGAATTCCTTTAATAGTAAGTATCCTGATTGTAATATTGTGTCTTCGATAACAATAAATCCAAAAGATTCTTTAAAATTTAGTAAGCGATTCAACAATGGCACGGACATCGCATATGAATAGATAAAGTGACTATCGTTATTTTATTTAGGCAGATAAATCATTTGATCCTCGAATGATCTTGATCATACTGCTTCGTTTTACTTTGCTCACGACTGTATTTATATTAAAAAACATGGGGCGCAGGTGGAGTGCTAACCTTTTTTATACTTTTCCATTTTTACTCGTACGTACTACTATATTCTACGTATAGCACTTGGATCAAATACTGTATTTTCCGGTCCCTGCCCGGAACGAAGCAATGGATTTTTTGTTTTTACAACGAACTATGATAAATTATACCGCGTGATTATGTCTGCCCGTTCTCTTCATCTGATCTTGTAATTTGCAGAATTGTCGGGTATAAAATATTTATTTACATTTGACTAGGGATTTGGTTTAGACTACTGCAATTTGAAATGTATAAATATGATGGCTAAACTAATAAAGAGCACAACTCTTTCTCTGAAACGATGTTATCAATGTGCAATACTCAAGCCGAGTCAGTTAAAATATTAATAGAAATATATAGTAAATATGTACCCTATACATAACTATCGATGACCTATTTGATTTCTTGAAGACTGGTATAACGCGTATTTGTCCTTTTTTTAAATGCTCGGTATTTTCTTTTATTTATTTAAGAGTTTGTTTCTTGTAAGCATTGCCATTAATTTTGTTATTTATTAACCCTTTTCTCTTTTCATCTGAAGCCACACGTTACCCACATGTTAGATTGTTAGCATTTTATTATTTTGAAATTTGAGTTTGAAAATAAATTAAGGCATCAGGCTCAAAACGACGAAATAATCTGAATTTCTTTCAAAACAACAATAATTTGAAGATTCAAGTAAACAAAAATCTCCATTCAACAAACACGAAGATAGCAAGATCGAATTTTCTCCTGCTTAGGATCTACCTCTACTTCGGTAAAAACGAGCAATCTGAACTTCAAACTTACTAAAACAAATTATCGAATTCAGATAATAGTTTAGACTTGAAAAACCAGATTACGCTTTTAAGGTGTGCATCACAAGTATCTCGGGATCTTAGAGTTAGTAATTTATCAAAACATGATACATTAGATAAAAAATGTAAATTTTTTCAACTTTAATGAGCACGTGTTATCCATATTGGAGTTTTATAAAGAAGGATCCAGATACGTTGGAGTTATACGTTTTTGTAAATGATTATTGCAAGAATGGCACCTGCCACATTTCAACGGTTAATGGACCGTGTTCTCTAAAAGAAAATGTGGATTTTGTGCTGGTCTATATTGACGATGTAAACATATATTTCCTGGAACACTTGAAGCATGTCGATATGGTGCTGATCCGATTAAGAGAAGCAAACCTGATAATAAATGTTTTTGGGACCAGAATAAAATCTTCATTCCTGAGTCATGAGAACAGTAGCAAGAAAATAGCTGCCGCTGAGTCAAAGGTAGCTGCTATTAGAAACTTTTCAAAACTAAAGAATCTACAAATACTGAGATTTTTTTTTTTTTCTTTTGAAAGTTAATGCATATAAGCTAGTAAAGCTGTTAGTGGTTATAAATTGATGGCATTATCTATAATGTGGAACAAATCTCGAGCTTGAATCAGCACGAATGTTCAAGGACGAATACGACAGGAAATATCTTCACGAATCATTCAAATTAACAAAAATTTTAAGGGACATATACTATGATTTAGTTAGGTTTATAAATTCGATGAAGAGAAAAGCTATTCAATACAAATTATAGGGATTTTACACTTTGGCCTTAAACTACGATTTGCTAGGTCATTTCAAAACTTAAAGGTTTTTGTATTAGCTGCTGGCAATCTTCGAAACATTCCTCCCGTGAATGCAAAGAAAAAAGTCTCCGCCCTCCATGGATGATAAAAAGAGTAATATGGTTATCATTTACCATCTAAGTTTGCAAGACATGGCATTCGCAAGATGTCGTCATGAATAGCACAAAATGTCTATCCATACCTTCCGTCATCCAATTCACTTCGTCAGACAATCCATAGAGTTCGACATCTTGATCTTCCTACGATTTGGCGGGAGAATTAGCCTTTGTATAAACAGTAATTGAATTTAATGGCTAGTCATCTGATAATTTTTTTTATTATAATAAACTGATATTCTCTTAGCAATTGAGGGTCTAAACGAACGGGATAGACCAGACCCTGCCAAGCAATGGCATGAATTCGGAGATCAGTTTATTGCGAACTCCCTCCCGATTATTATGCGTGATATTGCATATCACGCTACTAACGACCAAGTGCTGTATGTTATTCGGCAACACCATAAACATCAACTGCGATTTTCTTAAATAATTGGCTGGCATTATGCTTATAAGGTAAAAAAAAAAATTTCTTATGAAGCTTTACATGAGTTGAATTTATTGTGATTCTCAAATTTAATTATTTTACATCTTTTCGAATTGAACTTAAACAGCAAATAACAAAGAATAATTTTATCTTTTGGGCCTAACACAGGTTGAATCAATGAATATCGGGTGCATACCGGGAGACAAGTTTCCTGATACGAGTCACTCTATAAACAATTTTTATTTTTCAATATAAAAATTTAAACAGTTATAATATTACTAATTATTGCTTTTTTAAGTTAATGAAGTTCTAGTAGCGCTGTTAATTTCCTGAAGCTTCTTCATCATTTACTTCTTGCATTACAAATCATAAAAATTAATTGCAATACACCCATCATATAAAATTTAAATGTTTTCATCTTTTTTACTTTTAAGAAACATTTTCTATAAACGCCTTATGGCGTATCTGCGGGTACAAAAAAAAAAAGAAATCATTTTCTTTCACTTACATAGGTTGAATCAATGAATATCGGATGCATATCGGGAGAAAAGTTTCTCGATATGTACCCGTTAGTCAGCCATAGATCCGCCAAATACCTGCTGAAAATCAGCAGCATATTGGTAAGATATCTGGAGGTGGATCGATATCAGCAACATAACAGCAAAATATTGGGATGCCCCGATATCTTACTTTTAGACCCAGAGTGCTTAGAGTAAGATCCAATATTGTTACCGATATTGTCCTTACAAATATGCTGCGGATCTAACGGTACATACAAGTCACTCTCGTTATAGTGAACCTTCGATATAGCGAAGATTGGCTTATAATGGACAATTTTTTTTAGAACAGAATTATTATTAATAAATTTTCGCTCTATATAATGAAGTTAAATAGTAAACTTTCGATATAAGCTATAGTGAAGATTTTTATATCAAAATATCTTATATTATAATGAAGATTTTATTATATAATATTTTATTAACCAATTAAAATTGACAGATTTTTTGTTATATTGCTATATAATATATTTGATTATTGCCTTTACTATATTAAAGGATCTCGATATAGTGAATCTCTCAATATAATGAAATTTTTACAGCCCGTGGACTTCACTATTTAATATTCTAATTTAAGAGCAAAGGCTTTATCATTTACTTCAGAGAAATCAAAATTACTTGATTTATTTATTTTTGCACACAGAAAAAATAGCAATACAAAAAACGCAATACACGATGATCTAACTGATTACTTTAGCTGCTTGGCATTATAAGACTTACCATCGTGAATACTACCTTCGAAAATTGCCACACCAATCTAAGGTAATTGGACTCCACAAAAATCATCCTTGATAGTTCCGATCGCAAACTACATATATAAAAATTATTGTAACTTTTACACATATTAATGACATTTAAATAATTTTAATTTCCTTTGATACTTACGATATCAGTAGCATCAAACCTTGTCCCAACAATCTTTATTCTTACATGATACCCTTTTTCAATTGACTAAAACAAACATCATTAGCATATCATTAAAATTCTAAAGCTAAAATATATTTGTAAAGTTACATACTGAGCCATCCTCAGCATGATATGCTGGAGGGTTTTTTGAGGCATCAAATTTTAGATCTGAAGGGATTAACTGTATACCAAATTATATAAATAATTACATTTTAATGCAGTTTGAATAGATATATTATTAATCGTATGACTTGGTGAAATTGAAACCTACGTGACTCGAGACGAATACTTGTAACGGACCAACATCAGCAAAAAAACCCATCTTATGAAATATGATGTTATAAAAGAATAATACAAATGGAATGATAAATCCCTAAAATATATATATTCTTACCTTATTGACTTGACTTACTACTCCGTCTACGACTTCTCCTTTAAAAGGTTTGAATACAACAGCTCTATACTTTACTTCAAATTCTGCCAAACCGATAGACGGTATAACTTTTCCTTTCGAAATATCCAAAGATTCCATGCTATCCAGTACAGCGATGATATAACCGTATCTTCCAGTGCAAGTACCTTCAACATCCGCATATAATTTCTCAGCAAGAAATGTTTGATAGTTTTGAGTAAAGTAAGAAGGATGAAGTTGGATTGTGTGGGTTAACTTTTTCTGTTGGATAAAAGTAAAGTTTAAACTAGTTAAATAAAGTAATCATCTCTGAACTAGAACTTCTTGCAATGTTCTTGCTTACAATAAAAAACATTCTGCTTGTTTACACTAAATTAAGATAGTCTAATTCCCTAATTCCCACGATTAAAACCGTTGTTGCACCATGCTCATGACTACATATCCACCGATTTGGTTTAACCCCAAAATTAGCCAATCATAATTGAGAATTACTTTACAGAAACCTATATATTTTGATAAATATATTTACAGTATAGTTAAAATATTGTTAAAATATTGTTAAAATATTTATATATTCTATTAACTTACAACTAACCTTTTAATAGCTCGTTATTACCTAATAAAAATTTTTAAAAAATAACGTTATAAAATTAATTATAAATATTTATAATAATTAAAATTCGAAATAAACAAATTATATATAAAATTGGTCAAAGAATATTTTTAACTAATAAACTAAAAATAGGTACATAGTAAAAATTAACGATTTTTAAAAAACTTTAATTATTTTAATTTTTCTTATATATAATATAATCTTA